TAGAAGGTCAGCAAAAAAGAGGAAGACCCTCAATGAGATGGATTGACACAGTAGCTACAATGGGCTCAAGCATAACAACAATTGTGAGAATGTTACAGGACCAGGCAGTGTTTCATTCGGATGTACATGGTGTCGCTGAGTCGGAACCGACTTGATGGCTCCTAACAACAACAACATGGCATATATAATTTTGCAACAACAGCAACAACAACCATAAAATATATGTGCAGGTTTATATGCATGTATGTAGACATATATGTGTATAAGGGTTATGGATTGAATTGTGTTCCCCCAAAATGTGTGTCAACTTGGCTAGGCCATGATTCCTAGTATTGTGTGGTTGTCCACCTTTTTGTGATCTGGTGTGGTTATCCTATGTATTGAAAATCCTAACCTCTATGATTTAATGCGGCAGGATTAGAGGCAGTTATGTTAATAAGGCAAGACTCAGTCTACAGGATTAGGTTGTATCTTGAGTCAATCTCTTTTGAGATATAAAAGACAGAATCAAGCAGAGAGGAGAGGGACCTCATACCACTAAGGTCAGATTAGGTCTACATGTATAGTCATTTTTATGTTGGTGAAAAAAGGTATTTGCAGTGAATATACACATACTTCACTGGTTTTGCTTCTCTGGAGAACACAACCTAAGACAGTGAATGACCGAAGGTCCGTCACTGGTCAGTGGCAGAGCCAGACACGAAACCCAGGTCTCCAGATTCCTAGCCCAGTGGTCTTCTGTCCATCTGTCCACTCAATGCTGGGTGATGCTAGGCTTGTCTTCCCTCTTCCTCAGCACTGTTATGATCAGGAGGTGGCATGTATGCTGCCATCAGTACCTTCAGTGTCTGGGAATCAGCATCCAGACCTGTCTTTATCTGGTCTTCCTGCCAACTTAAAGCGAGGCCCTTCTCCTTAGTGCTCAGCATCCCTTACACCAGCTATGCAGACGAGAAAGCCAGCACCAGCCCTCAGAAACTAGCTTCTATATGCTCTTCCCAGGGAACTTGTTCAATCTGCAGATTAACTGAGAGCAACCTGACTGTCCGTCTAACAACAACCTGGGCTGCAACCAACAGGGAAAGACCTGGAGAGTGGTGTTGTCACAAAATGCCTGCATAGTGTTTCCTTTATGGAAGTGTGTGTGTGTTTACTGGGTTATTCCTATGTGCCAAGCCTAAAGTATTATGGGCACTTCAGTCTTCCACTGAATAACTCAGGACCAAGAAAATGGCCCGGCAGTTGGAGGAGAGCCCACAATTGGAAACAGTGACTTGAGGTCATGGACAGTGGCCAGCTGTCTTCTGTCTTGATTATTGGGAAAGAAAGAGAGAAGGAGCTGGTGCTGTCACATCTAGGTTCTATATGGGCTACGTTATGCTTCTGATTTAACTAAGTCAGTGCTACCCCCGGAATTCTGACAGAGTGGCTGTGAGTTGGTGGCTGCTCTAGTGTGGCTCTGAGGATGTGTGAGGGTTGTTGGTAAGGAGCTGAGAGCTGCCATAGGGACTGCACAGTGAGCAGCGTCCCGAAGCAGTGTGTGTGTGTGTGTGTGTGTGTGTCTGTGTGTTTAGAGGAGTTAGTGCACAGGGAAGAGGCTAGACAGCGTCTAGCTTCAAGTTCTTTCTTCCTATGAGAATCCATTTTTGCGTATCTGGAAGGCCAGCCGTGCTCTGAGCCATCCTCCTTGTTGACGACCAAACATCTGTAAGAAACTGGATCACAAGTCTTGGTAAGGTCCTACTGCCCTGGTTGTTGTCCCCTAGGTCTGCTACCTTGGGGCATAAGCAGGGCATAAAATAGAGTAGCAATTACTGACCTCAGAGACCCTTGGCACCTCCCTCTGACATGTCCAAAGGAAGTGTGCATGTTCCAGCTGTGCCTGCCCCATAGCTGCTATTGACTGGATGGGGAGGAGCATGGATGTCCTGGCTGCATTGAAGAGGAGGGCAGCATAGAGATAGGGCTGGGAATGGGCTGCTCTGCCTTTCAAGGTAGAAGCTGTATGCCTAGAGAGGAAGTGTGGAGCATAGAACAGTACTTTTACATTTAGGCCTAGGCAGCCTCCTTCTTGGGTAGTGTTCTTTTCCCCATCTGGGTTATAGGCTAGTCCAAATCCAGGGTCTCTGTAGTAGATTGATTGCAATAATGATCCCAACTGTTCCTTCCTCTCTACCCCCCTTTACAATATGACTTTGTAATTCCTTTCATCAGTAGATGGGATCCATTTCCTCACCCTTGCATCTGGGCTGGCCTTGTGACTTGCTTTAACCAAATGAATGTGGCAGAAGTGATGGTGTACCAGTTCCAAGCCTTGGCCTCAAGAGGCCTTGCAAACTTCTACTTACTGTTTTGGACCCTGCAACGGCCATGTGAATAAGCCCAGGCTGGCCTGCTGGAAACATGTGGCCCAGTCACCCCCATCAACCCAGCTGACGGTTAGTCAACGCCTGGAGGGAGAGCCACTTAACTGACCTGCAGATGACTGTAGCTACATGAGGGACCTCGGCTGAGACCAGAAGAATCTCTCCATTGTGTCTGGCCTAAATTGCTAACCCAGAATTGTAAGCTAGATTAATGGTTGTTGTTTTAAGCCATTAAGTTTTGGGGTGATTTGTTTCACAACAACAGATAACTAATGTAGGCTCCAATCAGAGGAGGTCAGGAGGAGGGGCCTGACATCTTGGGAAGGCCTGGGCTATTGGTGAGGGTGGGAGCTGAGAACAAAGAGTTGCGTGAAACCAGGAAGGCTCAACAGTTAGGTCTTACCTTGAGGACCCCTGGAGATCCAGCAGAGGAAGCCGAGATCCTAAAGGAAGAAGGGGTATGGAGGAGCCTGGGTAGAGCTGGCAGGAGAAATAAGAACCAGGACACTTGGTTACCCTGGGGAATAAATAAACTTTAATAACGGTGAGAAATAGTTTTGCGCATGTACTCGTCCCAGATGCTCTCTCTTCTTAGTGGGCAGGCCTTCATCACATCACTGGGCTGGACGCCCCGCGATGCAAACTCCTGATTCATTAGCATCAGATCTCCAGGGAATTCAGAAAAATGGAACAGGCATCGGTTCGTTGGGCCAGTGATGCACCGTTCTAGTTTTGTTGTGGGGAGGAAGGGTCTTCGTTCATTCGCATTACATGTCAAACATTTTTTTGGTTCTTCTGACTTGAAAATGACATTCATTCTTATTTCTTGCTTGTTTGCAGGTTTGCTCTCTGTCTCTTTCTTCTCCTCCTGCTTGGTAGTCCCGTGATTATTTGTGTCAAAGTTATCCCCCTCTTCTCTGCCCTTGTCTTTTGCCATGGGGCCCAGGCTCACTCCTGACAAACATGAAGCGTTCCTAAACCTTTCAATGTAGGGTAAAAGCTGCTGATTTCTCAGGGCTCGAGCAAGCTGCATCCTTTCTATGTGCTTGCTAATGTTGATCCTTTCTCGTTGTGGCATTTTAAACTCCTCTGGGGGCACAGTCACCCTTGCTGTCCATATTTTTTCCAAGGGTCCACAAGTCGGACAAGGAGATGGACTTTGTTTTTTATATTCCATTGCCTGTTTGTAGTCTGAGGATAGCAACTGCAATTCCATGAGCATCTTCCGTTCTTCCTCTTGCTTATAAGCCAAAAATCTTCTTGCTGCTACGGTGTGAACACCACCTAGACGCTGCCAATGAGAAAAGGATTATTAAAATTCCAATTGTACAGAGCCAGGGGGCACCCACAGAAAGAACTAGCCCTTGACCCTTTCTCCCTCCATTGCTGAGTGTGTGAGGTCCCCCATGTAGTGGAAAGAGGACAGATCTTTGGGATGAGGCAAGCCTGGGTTCAAATCCTGACTCTACTTCTTACCTACGATGCATACAAAAGAATTTTCTTGACTTTGCAGGGTCATTGTGAGGCCTCAACAAGACAACATATAGGAAAGCAACCAGCACATGGTAAGAGCTCCAAAAAAAAAAAAAAAGGCAGCTTTCATCATTTGTTATCATTTATAGTATATTCCTAACTGGGACTTTTAAATAAGAAAGTCTTCTGCTATGCACATATGGAAACCATTCAGTCAATTTGCGGGGCCACTCTTTGGGAGACTTCTCCATTGACAGTGGCTTTTGAACCTCTGGAACCCCCTAGCGAAATTTCTTGGAGTCAGTGGGGCCTTCCTACATGTAAACTTCAGGGCACTTACTAGGATCTCTTTTTCCATAGGGGAGTATTTCCCAAGGGCAATGCGTGGGTCTGATTTGTAGAACTTGGTCCACATCCTGGAAGGCAGAGAGGCAGGTATATTAGAAAGGCTCTTTCTAGTTTTCCCACTTAGAGTGAGAAATCTCACAAAGGGTGATTCTGTATTAGCCAGATTGAGGCCACTGTGAGCAGGGACTTTTAAAGTCACAGGGTAAGCTCCTCTGCATGGCTTCTTTCTGATATAATGCGAAGGAAAGAACTGGAAGCACAGGTTATACTCACCCCAACTGTGAAGTTAGGCATAGATCGTCTTGGCAAAACAGAGAGCCTTTATCCTGGAAGGAATGACTTGTATTGAGTATTCTGACTGACTTCCCTTTCTTCTTATTCAAATTCCCCTCTGGAGTCTTCCTTTCTTGGGCCCTTGATCTGCCAGTCTTCTGAAGGCCATTCTCCTCCATTCTTTGATCATATTCTGCCAATAGGCTAGGATGGGAGATGTTAATGTCTGGGGTTTGTTTCTAAGACAATTTCATGGGAACCCAAGGGAGAGTCACAAACATTTCTTGCATCATAACTGGTCTGGTTAGGGGCTATTGTGAAGTTTGAGTTTAAGGCATCAGATGATCCCCTGGGATGAAATGGACACACACCATCACAGTCCAGAAGGACAGCCACTTAACTGACCTGCAGTTGACTGCAGACGTGAGAGGGAGGATGGGTAGAGTGTGGCTAACCGGTGAGCTCGCTGTGTCACTGCCCCTTAAAAGCCCAGGAAGGCCTTTCAGTCCTTGTGGGATGAAGACTCAGCCTGCTAAAGTCTCTCTTTCATATTTGCGTGCCTCTCCAATCTTAACACCTCATGCTCCAACCATACCACTCAATCGACTTAGTAATGATACCTGGCATAAGAGAACTTCAGCTTAAGTTGAGAAAAACAAAAGGCTTAATGCAGATAAAAAATATGACTGACTTCCAACAATTCTGATGTGATGTCAAACTGAAGGACAAGAAAAACAAAAGCACCAAAAACAAAATCACCTCCTCAGAGAGGCCTGCCTTGACCACTGTTTGTAACGTGGTCCCATCCCCAGTCATTCTTCATCAACCTCCACTATTTCCTTCAAGCACTTCTAACAGTTGTTCTCAGCGTGGGCTGCATTGGACTCATTCAGGAAGCTTCATAAAATGCTGATGCCTGGGTCCCTCCCCTAGCTATTCTGATGTACTAGGTCTGAGGAGAGGCCTGGGTATCCAGATGTTTGGATGCTCCCCAGGTGATCCTAAGCTGAAGGCCAAGTTGAGAACCACTGCCTTACAGCATCTGTACTTACCGTGTTTATTGTTGTCTTGCTCCTCCTATTAGAATGTAAGCTCCAAGAGGCCAGGAAAGCTGTTTATATTGTTTATTGCTATTTGTGGAGCCCTGCTGGTGCAGAGGGTAAGAGTTCAGCTGCTAACTAAAAGATCGGCAGTTTGAATCCAACAGCCAGCCACTCCTTGGAAGCCCTATGGGGCAGTGCTGCTCTGTCCTATAGGGTCGCTATAGTCAGAATCAACTCAACGCCAATGGGCTTAATTTTTGGTTTTCCCAGACCTTGGCACATAACCCATTGCCATCAAGTCGATACTGACTCATAGCGACCCTATAGAACAAAGTAGAACTGCCCCATAAGGTTTCCAAGGCTGTAATCTTTACAGAAACAGACTACCACATTTGTCTCCCATGGAGTGGCTGGTGGATTCGAACCACTAATCTTTCAGTTAGCAGCCAAGAGTTTAACCACTGCGCCACAAGGGCTCTTTTTTCCTGGCACATAGAAGATAATAAATGTGTATTTGTAGAATTAAACAAACAACAACAACAACAAAAAAGCCTTTTCTTAGCTAAAATAGCACTACAAAGTGAACCAGGCCTGGCCGGCAAGATTTACCTCTTCTGGCCACTGGGAAATGGGAGGGGATTGGGGATTGGGCCAAACAACCCTCAGCTCCTTCCAGCAGGCATCTCTACTGGCTGGTTGGATCAGGTGAGGCCACAGTGCTATGGGTAGGAGGTGGCATCTCTCTGCAGGCGTGAAGGACGTTTCAGGGACGAGTGCTGTCCTCAGACAAGGCAAGAGAACATGGAAGAAGGGCTTTGAACTTATGGAAAGGGAATTACAGCTACTCTCCAGATCTTACTCTGCTGTACCTGAATCTCGAAAGGTCCCGCCATCTTGGCTTGTGTCCCCGGTGATGTCCCAGCCACATGGAATGGGCTGGGATGGACCACAGCCAGAGACGAGCCGGCTCTTTTGCTTCTAGCTGATTGTGTCTACTTCCCTGACGGTTAGCCCGAGCTCTGACAGTTACGTTCTGGTCTTGGCCACAAACTTACGTTTGGGCTGTGGGGTGGGGCAGGAGAAGGAGAGGCTTCTCCAAGGCCAGCACCTTGGGATCAGCAGCCTTTAGTGAGAGACCTTCAAGAGGAAGGTGGATCTCAGGAAAACAGGGTAGGATGAGGTCCATGCGATCTGTGCTCTCCCCTCCTGGCGATTCCATCCCCTGCCAACCTTAGGGAATGGGGCTTTGATTGTATTGTTCTACCGAGAAAGAACGACATCTGCATTAATTCATTAAGACAAATCCAGAGGGCAGGGCAGGATGGGTTCTCCACATAGGAAACAGCACTGCAAAACAGGGGAGGGAGCCAGAGAGAAACTGTGTGCTCAGGGAACTGAAAGCAGTTCAGTTTGCAGGAGAAGGAGGGAGGGGGCACCGAGGGAGAAGACAGAAAAGGGGGC